GCCACTGCACTCCATTCTGGGCGACAGAGTGAGACTCCAACTCAAAAAAAAAAAAAAGGAGTTTCTAAGATGTGGGATTCAATTCAGGATTAGGTAGATAAGTGGTCATTGTACAGGCAATGTTTGGGCCTCCCTTTGGTCCCCACTTCACTTAGAAACTCTTGATAAGCTCAATATTTTTAGCTTTTAATTTTATTCCCATTTTAAAAGCCAAAGTAATAGGTTTATGCCAAGAAAGGCCTCACTGGAATTGTGCATTGGCCTGCAGTTTGACCAAGCAAAATCAAATCCTAAAGAATGTGGTTGTGTGAGTTTGTAAGTTTTATTTTTATTTTTTTTGAGTCGGAGTGTTTGTTACTCTGTCACCAATGCTGGAGTGCAGTGGCACGCTCCCAGCCACTGCAGCCTCGACCTGCTTGGCTCTGGCAATCCTTCTGCTTCAGCCTTCCAAGTAGCCAGAACTACAGGCTTACAGAACTACAGCTCGCTACCAAGCCCAGCTAATTTTTTTCATTTATTGTAGAGATGAGGTATTGCCAAGTTGCCTGGGCTGGTCTCGAACACACGGGCTCAGGCAGTCCCCTCGCTTCGGTCTCCCAAAGTGCTGGGTTTACAGACTGAACCACCAAGCCCGGCCTGAGTTTATAAGTTTTAACTAGAGATTTGAAGGTCATTGGGTGGGAAATGGAAAAGGAAGGGTTATACAAAGCCTTTAGCCCTGGATTATCTACGGTAGCGCTACCTTTTGGTAGCACAACATTTTGGAGACGACAGTGCTTTATTTAGATAATTTTTAAATTCTGAAATAGAAGTCTATTGCCCAGTATGGTTTTAAGCAAGCAAAAACAAACAAAATGTCTAGACATGTAGGCTAGTTTTTTAGTGTTCTGGGCTTTTTTTGAGTTTCAGTATATTTCAGACTCCAGTCCTGCATCTTCTTCTTATTTAATTATTGATTTAGAGCCAGAGTCTCACTTCGTTGTCTAGACTGGAGTGCAGTGCCATGATCATCGCCACCATAGCCTTGACCTGCTGGGCTCAGGCAATCTTTCTGCCTTAGCCTTCCAAGTAGCTGGGACTACAGGTGCATGCCACCATGCCTGGCTAATACTTTAATGTTTATTGTATTTATTTATTTTTTATTATAGAGAGGAGGTCTTGCCATTCTGCCCAGGCTGGTCTCGAAACTCCTGAGCTCTTGCAATTCTCTCATCTCAACCTCTCAAAGTACTGGGTTTATAGGTACGAGCCACTGTGTCTGGGTCTTTAAAATCAATTCTTAGACTCTGTTGATATGTATGTTTCATCCTTTTTTTTAAAAAAAGAGACAGAGTCACACTCTGTCACCCAGACTGGAGTGAGTGCAGTGACGTGATCACAGCTCATTGCAGCCTCAACCTCCTGGGTTCAAGCAGTCCTCCAATCTCAGCCACCCGAATAGCTGGGACTATAGGCATGAACCACCACACTTGGCTAATTTTTTAAATTTTTTTTTTTTTTTTGTAGAAATGGAGTCTCACTGTGTTGCCCAGGCTTGTCTTGAATACCTGGGTTCAAGTGATCCTCCTGCCTCAGCCTCCCAAAGTGCTGGGATTATAGGTGTGAACCACTGTTCCTGCCCATGTTTCACTTTTATCATTAAAATGTAAGTTTGTTATGAATATACCTGCTAATATGTGAAGAAGCTAGTTGGGTACATGAGGCAGAAGCAGGCAAAATTAGACTGAGCTGAAATGTTTTCTAAATTACTCTTGTGAACCAAAGGAAAGACAATGTATCGTTAGTCAATAGAGCACAGCTTAATAGCAAGTAAAGTGTATCTGCTGCCTGACTTCGAAATATGTGGTTTAGTTGGGCATGGTGGCTCACGCCTGTAATCCCAGTTCTTTGGGAGGTGGAGCCCAGAGGATTGCCTGAACCCAAGGATTCAAGACCAGCCTGGGCAACTTGGTGTGAGACCTTGTCTCTACAGTAAATCAGAAAATTAGCCAGGCATGGTGGCACACACCTGTGGTTCTAGTTACTTGGAAGACTGAGGCGGAAGAATCGACACACCTTTGGTTCTAGCTACTTGGAAGGCTGAGGCGGAAGGATCGCCTGAGCCCAGCAGGTCAAGGCTGCGGTGGCTGTGAGCATGCCACTGCACTCCAGCCTGGGCAACAGAGTGAGACTCCAATTCAGATTTTTTTTTAAGAGTGTGTTTTGACCATCCCTCTCCCCCACCATTTTAAACATACTGGACTAAATTTGTATTTTTTATTCTCAGGGTTGCTGGTCATCCTCTGGCACAGAATGAACGTTGTCTTCACATGTTTTTACAGGACGAAATAATAGATAAGAGCTATACTCCATCTAAAATAAGACATGCCTGAGATGTGGCAAGAAGGGGCAGAACCATGACTCTCAATGATGCCTACGCCCCAGGGGAGAGGTTCTAACTTGTAGCATGCTGCACAGATCCTGGTATAACCTGCCTTTGGTAGACTAACACTCACACACTTTGTTTCGTTTTGGCAGTTGACAAGAAGTTACTTGCTTTAGTGAAGACCCTTCATTCCAGTCTTTCTCTATAAATAGCTCTTGCTGTTCTATGTGGTGCTACGCACTCTAGCCTCACAGACCTGTTCCTCCAATGTAACCTGCAGCGTCCTAACTAAAGTGCTGGCTTGGTTTTATTTGCACAGTTTTTGTGTTATGTTTGCTTCTTGCATCCGATTAAACAATATTTCTCTGCTCCCCTTAAATGTGTGACGTCACTTGATGCAGTTCCACGTAGGAGCACTACGCCACCAGCTTCCAGCACTGCACACGCAGGGGACACACGTGTGCAGAAGCATTGCCTTCAGGCCTGTAACACCCTTCACACGGAAGATTAACGAGGGGAACCTTTATATCTGTATAAAAACAAAATCAAATTTATATACTAAAATCATTTGTCTAAAATTTTAAGTTGTTTTCAAATAAAAATTAAAATGCATTTCTGATATGTGCTGATCGTGTCCTGCGGCTTCTCTCTTCTCTTGGCTTGACTATGCACTGTACTCGTTGGCAGTTTCCCTGCTGATCACATACTTCCCATTCTTCCAGGCCTCTGTAAACAGGGGTGATGTCAAATATACTTCCGCCCTTAGAATGGGGTATTTTCTATTACGCAAAAAAAGTGATGGACTTAAAAAAAGCATCCCTTAAGGTTTTCTGAATCATTATGAAGCACTTTGTATATTTGAAAACTGCTTTATAGTCTCAAGTCATTCTGTAAAAGGCCCTTTAAGGATAAGTCAATACCATTCCTGCCATTTTTCAGAAGAATTTATTTCCTAGTTCTTCTGAGTGACTTGTTTATACAAACACAGCAAGGGTGTAATAACCCTTTGCTTAGCAAATCCATGCTTCCTCTTTAATTTGGCTTGGGATAGTAGCTCACTTTAACCTCTTTAAAGCAGGAAAAAGAGCCCAGTGTTCCGGTCTGGCCTTTATAAACAATAAGAGATCAGAAAATCCATGACTCCTTGCTACCTAACTTGTGTTGTGGCCAGACCTTGCAGCCAGAATGTGGTCTTTGGTTTGAGTCTATACAACCTCTCATGGTTTGGGCACCCAGAGTTAAATCCCAAAGTAAGGAAAGTTTGTCTTCCCACACCAGAAGTATCTCCTCTGAAGATGTCAGTCCATTTGAGAGGAAACAAGTTTAGCTCTTGGCCAAACTAGGATGTCCACCAAGAAGACTGACACTCATAGGAAAAGTCATAGCTGCCCTGTAAGGCCTTTTGTTGCTCACAGTATTTCAGTTGGACATTTCAACACTGTAAAGTAAGAAGCTACAAAGCTAAACAGGTGAGTTTTCTTTCAGAAGTCGGGTCACAGGCTCCGCATTTTTGGTCTGAGACTGGAGTAATGGTAGCTCTGCTGAAGTGAAGGATTCCTTGAAAGCAGTGGTTCTCAACCAGGGCTGATCTTGCTCCCCAGGGCACATTTGGCAATGTCTGAAGATATTTTTGGTTGTCACAGCTGAGGAGTGTTACTGGAATCTGACCAGCAGAAACAGAGGTGCTGCTGAGTGTATAAGACAGCCTCCCACAGCAGAAGAATGTCAGAAGGGCCAAAGTCTCTACTCACTATGGGATCTTTTGATTTGGGGATTACCTTTAGAGAAGGAATAATGTGCTTTAGGATGGGTGGCAGCCTGTTTGCTTCTAGCCTCTGCCAGTCTCCTAAGAGCAGGCATGCACTTGAAAAGTCAAAGGTGCCAGGCGCAGTGGCTCACACTTGTAATCCCATCCCTTTGGAGGCGAGAGGATTGCCTGAGCCCAGGGATTCGAAACCAGCCTGGGCAACATGGTGAGACCTTGTTGCTACAGTAAATCAAGAAAAATTAGCTACTAGCTACTTGGAAGGCTAAGACGGAAGGATTGCCAGAACCCAGCCAATCGAGGCTGCAGTGGCAATGAGTATGCCACTGCACTGAGCAACAGTGAGACTCCTAGTAAAAAAAAATAAAATAAAATTCCCCCACAACTTCATAATAAGAAATAAATAATTTTAAAAAATAAAAATAAATTGACTTTGACCAGTATATAAGATAGCCTCCCAAGGGAAATTAATTCAATAGCACAAAAGGGAGTTTGGAGGATGCTGGGTGGCATCTCACAGATGCTCTTGAGTAAGCCCTGTATGTGGAGGTGTCCCGTTAGACTACCAATGACACTAAGCACTTTAAGTGTGCAGAGTGCTTACATAGGGTCAGACACCAGCCCTCTTTGCAAACTGAGGCTTGGAAAGACAGCCCAGCCAGGTGGTAGGCAAGGCAGATGTGAGGAAGTTCAGGACACAGGAGTTCAGGCGGAGGGAAAGCAGTGGCTTGAAGCAAGATGAAATCAAGGCGTCTGACTTCTCCTCCGTGTAAAAAACTTGAAAGCACAAGACAAAGTGGGACAAACTAAACCAGTGACTTCTTGGACCCATGGGAGAATTAAGAGTGCAGGGCAAACCACCCCCCCCAGATCTGGAAAAAAAGGCTCGTCTGGAGAGAGCCGGCCAACATCTCACCTGGAGCAAAAGCTGAAATGCAGCTAGTTCAAAACACCTCCGTGGATCATTGTTCTGCCAAACTCTGGTCTGGCCATGTGGCTCCTTGAGCTATGGTCGCCATGTTTCCTAGCTTTGGCCCCTTCCACTTGGGGAGGTGAATCTCCTCTCTGTTTTCTCTCTCTAATTTACTTTCTAAATAAACTATATTTTCCAACCTAAAAAAAAAATAAAAGAACCACCTCCTTGGTTGATATCTCGCCGGGAGGCTGAGTGTGGACTAGAGGGAGAGGGAGAAATTCCCAGGGGGCTATAGCCCCCCTACATGTTCCTGGGCTTTAGCTCCAGGAACCCCACCAGGGACTCACAGGAAAGATCCAGAAAGACCCCAGTGACTCTGGTCTGGGAAGGGAATTAATAATCACTGAAATAACATCCAGAACCTTCTTTATCATAAAGGTCTACTGTCTAGAGCAAAAGACTGCCAGGGCCTTGTCCCAGTTGAAGGAAGAGCATTCTTCTCACTCCAACCTCCCTGTAGCCCTCCTGCTTTGCCTAATGGGTTGGGGGGAATCTTGGCCAACAGGAGTCAGGACTTGAAGAAATAGCCTGGAAATGTGGCAGCCAGGGAAAGGCGGCTGGAGGAACACGTGATGATCATAGGCCACTCAAACACTTAGATTTAATCTGGAGATTATAGAATGTCCCCTGCCTCCATACTTGACAACCACACCAGTGGGTCCCTGCATAATCACAGTGGGTTACAGCTGAAAGCTCCACTCTGAGGAGTAATTAATTAGGCAAACCCTAAGTTAAAAGACCAGTGGCCAGGCATGTGGCTCATACCTATAATCTCAACATTCTGGGAAGCTGAGGTGGAAGGATTGCTTGAGCCCAGGAGTTTGAGACCAGTCTGGGCCACACAGCAAGACCTCATCTTTATCAAAAATTTTTTTTTAAAAATAGCTGGGTATAGTGGCCTATGTCTATAGTCCCAGTTATTTGGGAGGCTGAAGCAGAAGGGTTGCCTGAGCCCAAGAAATCAAAGCTGCATTGAGCTATAATCATGCCATTGCACTCCAGCCTAGGTGACAGGTGAGATGTCACTCCAGGTGAGATGTTGGCTTGGTTCTCTCTAGATGAACCTGTTTGTCCAGATTTTGAGGGAGTACTTTGCCCTGCACCCTCAATTTTCCGATGGATCCAAGAAAAAGTCACTGATTTTCAGTTTGTCCAGCTTTGTCTTTGTCAGTGAGACTCTGACTCAATAAATAAGTAAATAAGCCAGGTGTGGTGGCATGTGCCTATAGTCCCAGCTACTCAGGAAATTGAGGTGAAAGGGTGAATCACCTGAGCCCAGGAGGTTGAGGCTATGGTGAGCTGTGATCATGCCACTTCACTCCAGCCTGGGTAACAGAGTGAGACTCTGACTCAAAAAAAAGACAAAGACCAGCAGAAACAAAGACGCTAGAGGAAAGTGAAGCCTCTGGTACCTATAACTACAGCAAATGTTAAACACAGCCCAGCTCTCAGCCAGGTTATCATAAACCTTCACAATTCAGGCAGGCCTGTGTACTTCGGTCTTTATCACTCAGTGCAACATGCCTGGCTTTCAACAACAAAGTACAAGGCATGCCAGAACATAAGGAAAAACAGTCTGAGAAACCAGTCCAAACCAGGGTAGATATGATGATGATGTGAGAATTGCCAAACAGGGAATTAAAATAAATATGATTACTATGGGAAAAGCAGACACATGCAAGATTGGATGAGTAATGTCATCAGAGGTGGAACCTCAGGAGACAAAGGAAATGCTATAAATCAAAATCACTCTAATGGAAATGAAGAAAGCCTTCAGTGGACTTGTAAGTAGACTTAAGCTTAGGAAAGAATCCGGACGTTTGAAGATAGGTCAATAGAAACTTCCCAAACTGAAATACAAAGAGTAGAAAAAACCAGTACAGCCCCAAACTGGGATCATTACCAAAGGTACAGCATACGTGTAATTGAAGATCCAGAAGAAGAGAGAACAAAGCAAGAAATACATGTTGACCCTTGAACAGTGCAGGATTTAGGGGTGCCAGCCCGCCATACAGTTGAAAAACTGAGTACAACTTTTGACTCCCCCAAAACTTACCAGTTAAGACCAGAAGCCTTACCAATGGCATCAACAGTCAATGAACATGTAATTTGTAGGATATGTGTTATATACTATATGTCTACAAGAAAGTAAGCTAGAGGAAAGAATGTTATTAGGAATATCATAAGGAAGGTAAGATACATTTACTAGTGGAAGTGATCATCATGAAGGAAGGTCTTCATCCTGAAGAGGATGAGAAAGAGTTGAGAAGCTGAAGAGGAGGAGGAAGAGGAGGGATAGGTCTTGCTGTCTCGGGTGGCAGAGGCGGCAGGAGAGGCAGGCACACTCGGTGTCATTTTTATTGAAAAAAATGCTATGATACATAAATCTGCACAGTTCAAACCCATGTTGTTCAAAGGTCAACCATAAAGTACATCTGAAGGGGATGACCCAAAAAAGCCCTAGAATTATCTTTGGGAGGGTGGGCCTCTTGTAATATGGGCTTCCCCCACTATGCAGGTGTTCTAGGAACCCATTGGCATCAGTGTACCAGCTAGCGTTGTTGTGAGAGGCTGCTTTGGCTTCAGTGAATATTTTTGCTGAGATTCTTTTGATTTGTTTGCCCGTTTCATGATGGTTGATTTACAAGCCCACCTGCCCACACTGTGCTGAGTATTCGGCAGTTTTTGACCAAAAATGGCATGTCCCACCCCCTGTCCCACCCTCCCTATTCACCCGATTTCACCCTGAGCAACTTTGTTATTGTTTCCCTGGGTGAAAAAAGTCCTCAAAGGGAAACATTTTGCTGATGTGGCAGTGGTGAAACAAAAAACAGCAGAAACTCTAAAAGGCATCAAAATGGATGAGTTTGAAAAACTGTTTTGAG